CTTTAGCCCAGGAGTTCAAAGTTACAAGGATCTGTTTGTGCCACTACATTCTAGCCTGGGCAACAGAGCAAGACCCTGTCTCTAAAATAAAAACAAATTAAAGCTTGAATTCTTGAATTTCTAAATACATAAATTTGAAATATGTGAAATACATATATCTTTAAAAATGGGGACTGGGTGCCATGGCTCACACTTATAATCCCAGCACTTTGGGGGGCCGAGGTGGGTGAGTCACCTGAAATCAGGAGTTTGAGACCACCCTGGTCAGCATGGTGAAGCCTCCTTTCTACTAAAAATACAAAAATTAGCTGGGTGTGGTAGCGAGCACTTGTAGTCCCAGCTACCCAGGAGGCTGAGGCAGGAGAATCGCTTGAACCTGGGAGGCGGAGGTTGCTGTGAGCTGAGATCGCACCACTGCACTCCATCCTGGGCAACAGAGCAAGACTCTGTCTCAAAAAAAAAAAAAAAAGGGACCATAATGTATTTGCCCAGGCACTGATTAGCACACAAGTGTTACAAGTACAGGGTATACTGTTGTCACAGTAAAATTAATAGCAGATTGGGATTTAGGATCTTAGGATCTTAGGTTCTACTCCTGACTTTGCCAATAGTTAGCTTTGTTTCTTTGGCTAAGTCATTCCTTATGTCTAGGCCTATTTCCTTATCTGTAAAATGACAAAGCTGTACTTTAAGGGTCATCTTTCTAGCTCTAACATGTTGTATTGCTTTTGTTATGGCTCTAAAAAGCTCCCTGGTGCAAGAGATCCTTCTCTTGATTGCTTTTTAAGAAACTCAACGTTTTGAATTACTGATTTATCTATCAACAAGAGGTGGTTTACTTTCCTTTCCTGTTTGAGTGCTTAAAGAAGAGACATTACTCTTTTCCTTTATAGATAGTATTGGAGTTAATAAAGGCTTTCTTGGCTTTCTCCTGTTTTTGTTTTGTTTTTTTTCTGATTGCTTGTTTGTCATTGTGTTGTTGGGCTCACTTCTTATTTTATTTGTGCTTTCTTTTAGTAATGGTGTTATCTTGGTGTTCATTATGTACTTTGGAAGACTTAGTATATGTGGGTTTTGGGGTCCTATTTATTTTCTCATGCACCAGTTCCGATCATTGTTTGTTTGTGGGTTTTACCCTTCCTCCCATATTGTTTTGCTTTCTCCCCCTCTCCCTTCCCTCCCTTTCAGGAAAATGGAGGAGTGGCTCCATTACTTCTGGCTCTGCCCAGGTTTTCTGCCACAAGAGTGGCACAGCCTGTGCCTCTAATGCTTCTGATAGAGTCGTGACTGCTTTGGATTCTACACCTGCCCCAAGATGTAATATTGAGCATTGAGATTCCAGGGGCAGTACTTCGTCCTGGAAAGCCTCAAGAAAGGAAACTTCAGAGCAAACAGAATCAACTAGGGATCATGACTATACATCCATCACATGCATACCAGAATGGGTCCAGCCGAGGCCTCCAAAATGATGCTTTGCCAGCCTCAGCTGGTTCTCAAGTGATGATATCCTTGAAGTCTCTGTGGCCCGTGACTCCAGAGTTAAGGTAGTGGAGTTTCCCTTTAAAGCATCTCACAGCAGGCTTTGTAGATGGGACACATCTCACTTCAACATGCTTGCTGACTACTCAGGTTGAAAATCAGCCTCAGCCCTTAGGTCCGTTAAATTTAAGTTCTAATTTTGAAATGTGGATTATTAGGTTATAGGCTAGGTTTATGGTAGACTGGGTTTTTGACATAGTGGACTTCAATAATAACTTATACAAAATGATTCAACTTATTCTTTTTAGGGCTTAATTTACATAGCTATAAATTAGGTTTTCCTTTGGTTAAAAGGCATTAGAGGGCAAAAATAAAATCTTTTAGCCAGGTAGTCTCCATCACTCTGTATGTAATTTGTGATTTGGAGAAAAATGACCTGAGGTTCGTAATTTTTTGGCTTTGGAATGTACTATGATTGTTCTATATGTTATGATCTTACTGAGGGTTGTCGCTGAGTTGTAATTCTACAGTATGTGGATCTGATTTCACTTTCTATGATTTATTAATAGATACACAATTGCATCTTATTTCATGTACATCATATTTCTTAGTCTCCTGACAATCCGGAACTTGAGAATGCATTAAGTGGGTTTACATATTGTGACCTTCCTTCGATTTTTTAGTAGACATATTCTTTGGAGACTAGAATTTGAAAGAAGAAAAATTATATGATTTCCTACAATTAACAACCAAATCTTTATATTTAATAGGAATTTTTAAGACTTTTTTTGAACTTGAAATCAGGTTGTTGAACTAACCTTTCAAGTAACTAGATTAGGAATTGTATTTTTGTTGGCTGTTCTACCTAAATGCTGATAGGAGAGATCTCCTTGTACTTGCAAGTAAACTGTGTTTTCCCATTTCTAATCTAGTATCCAATGCTTCATATATTTTACACACACTCACATACACACACACACACACACACACACACACACACACACACATTCATTCATCCCAAAATTCATTATTCAGATAGTTTGAGGAAGTTTTTTCTGGTTCATGAGAAGTGACAATGTGTAATATTATTAAAGATGGTTTTAATATATACCAACAGGAAAAAAAATGCTATGCCATACATAGAAATTTGCTACTAATGTTTTATTTTAGTGTCCCTAGTCTTTAGGGATATACAAATTTAAAATTTTTAAAAAATAAAATAGAACTATATTGTGGTTTATAAATTACTTTTTAACTTAAATACTTTCTATTTAATCTTATTTAGAATATCATTTTAATTTCTACCTCTTATGAATCATGTGATAACACTAATTAGTTTCTGATATTGTTTAAATGTTTTCTTACTCTTTGCTATTGCAGACAACATTGTAATAAATATCCATGACTTTTGTTTTTTTTTTTTGTTGTTGAGACAGAGTTTTGTTCTTGTTGCCCAGGCTGGAGTGCAATGGCATGATCTCCGCTCACTGCAACCTCCGCCTCCCAAGATTCAAGTGCCTCAGGCTCCCGAGTAGCTGGGATTGCAGGCATGCACCACTATGCCCAGCTAATTTTCCTATTTTTAGTAGAGATGGGGTTTGCCACGTTGGCCAGGCTAGTACTGAACTCTGGACCTCAGGTGATCCACTCACCTCGACCTCCCAAACTGCTGGGATTACAGGCATGAGCCACCACGCCTGGCGGAATTTTTTTTTTTTTTTTTTTTTAAAGATGATTTTAGAGAATTTTTCCAGAAAGATATATTTCTTCAGTTTATGAAGTGCTTCCATTTATTCTAAAACTGTTTCCTAATTTGGGGAGGGTATGTTGTAAATATTCTGTATTTTATAAAATGATTAAGATAAATGGATTTAGGGTTTAAATTTCTTTTTTTGGCAAAATGAAAAGTTGGCACCTCTGTGTTTGTCCCCCTTTTAAAAAGCTTGCATTGTGTAAACCATTGATCTAGAAATACAAGAGCAAAACTTTATGGCTCAACTTTAGTAAGATTTAAATTAGTGTTATCTAATCTTCACTTTATTGAAATACAAATCAGGGCAGAAATTCTCAGTAAAGCAAACCCATCTGTGGCTTCCTTTAGCAATTGATGATTCTCTGTGTTGTCTAAATATTTCTGATCCATCTGTTTGAGGGAGAAAGCACCAAAAGGCATGTAATAAACATTTATGAAAGTGATTGTCTATTTTGCTTTAGCCTATTTAGATGCTGTTGCTATGCATCTTTGAATATAAATAGTAATGAACAATTTATCTGTCAAATAAAATTTAGGAGGCAGCTAACATGCATTAATATCTCCTGCCATTGAGTGAATTCTTCACTGAAATGTGGGTGCATGCTAAGAAATGTAGAGGGATTTCAAATCCAGAAATAACAAGTGTTCCATAATCCCAGCTACAAGTTTTGACTTAGCTAGAGTCAGTCTTGATTGCAGAGAACATGTTTATCCCATACAGGTTAGCTCATGGCAAACTGTCAGGATCATGCCATCTTCTTTTGAACCTTTCTATGAGGCATTTTCTTATTACTGTGATTTATGAATTTATATTGAAAGGATACCCAGACTTACCAAAACATCTTGCACAAAAGCTGTATGATTGCTTTTATCTCACATTTTCAGTTATTTTTCTTGAGTACAAACATGGAGATTTCCTAGAAATATAGTTTAACATATGATGGTAGGAATAAAAGTAGTGTTTTCTTATGCTTTTAGTAATTGATTTTTCCATTAGCAAATTGGTCTTTGAGGAGCATCTTGAGAAATTTTGGTGTGAAAATTTTATAGTGAAGCAACTGCACTATTTTTTTTTAAGTAACCCATTTGTGGTAATTTGTGTTCTTTTACCATGTATGTAATTAATAGCACTCATGTCCCTTCTTGCCCTATCTTGAATATTATTAGAGATTATTTATTGCTGCAATACTTAACATTTGTGTATTCTTTCATCTGGTTAACCGAATTTATGTAGTACATTGAAATTAAGGTCCAAAACTATCCTCTAGTTTGAGGCAAGGTGTCATTATATATAGTGGTTTATTATACATTGGTTTTCCAAGAATATAGTTTGCTGTTGAATAAAACCTCTTGTGGAGTTTTATCTTGGAATGCCGTTTATCTGAACAAGTTTATTTATTACTGTTGGCCTGTCTGACGTTGTAGTTGTAGGATGATGTCAGCAAAGCAAATAGAGGATTGGAAGGTTATCCAGTATCAAATTGCAATTGGTAAAAATAGTCAATAGAATATGTCCTTCAGTGTTTCCAATATATTGCAGAGTTGTATAGAATTAAAAAATAATGAGTGTAAAGAACATTTTCAAAAGTTTTGTTTATAGCTTAGGTTAAAACATGTTTTTGCTAGTTGTTTATTTACAATATAAAATCTATTTGCACGTTTGTTTCAATTTTGATGCAGAGAAGTCTGTTTTTGTTTTTAATTTGGTGTATTTCAACCCCAGATATATAGTTCTTTTTTTTTTTTATTGTTTTTTTTTACTCTCAAGAATTGCCAAGAAGATGCTTTTAGAAGAAATTAAAGCCAATCTTTCCTCTGATGAGGATGGATCTTCAGATGATGAACCAGAAGGAGGGAAAAAAAGAAATGGAAAACAAAATGAAGAAAACCCAGGAGATGAAGGTGAGCTCCCCAAAGAGAAGTTTATAATGTCATAATTTGATTCCTTGACCAATTCAGCCTTTGAAGAATATCTGTCCAAGAAATATCTTAATACAGCCAGGTGTGGTGGCTCACACCTGTAATCTCAGGACTTTGGGAGGCCGAAGCATGTGGATCACTTGAGCTCAGGAGTTTGAGACCAGCCTGAACAAGATAGTGAAACTGTGTCTCTACTAACAGTAGCTGGGCATGGTGGTACGTGCCTGTAGTCCCAGCTACTCAGGAGGCTGAGGCAGGAGAATTGCTCAAACCTGGAAGGCAAAGATTGCAGTGCTGCTGCACCCCTGCCTGGGTGACAGAGCAAGACTCCCATCTCAAAAAGAAAAAAAAAAAGGAAAAGAAATCTCTTAATACATGCTTTTAGAGTTTATGAAAATGTTTAAAACTTTATTACCATGGCTTCTCTAGAATATCTTGTAGTAATTATGGAATGTACTCTAATTTTATCAGTAATGCCAATAAACAGATGATTTTTTTTTTTTTTTGAGACAGAGGTTTGCTCTTGTTGCCCAGGCTGGAATGCAATGGCGCCATCTCGGCTCACTGCGACTTCTGCCTCCTGGGTTCAAGCAATTCTCCTGCCTCAGCCTCCCGAATAGCTGGAATGATACACATGTGCCACCATATCCAGACAATTTTGTATTTTTAGTAGAGATGGGGTTTCTCCATGTTGGTCAGGCTAGTCTGGAACTCCTGGCCTCAGGTGATCCACCTACCTTGGCCTCCCAAAGTGCTGGGGTAACAGGTGTGAGCCACTGTGCCCAGCCCTAAACAGATGATTTTCAAAGCAAAATATTTTATTCCTTACATATAAACATATGTTGGTGATATTTAGTCAATATTTAATAATAGTAATATATCAAGTCTGATGTGTGAGATTACCTGATAACACCAATGATACCAAGGTATGTGCGTAGCTCTGATCTTTTTCATAAGTTGCAATAGTTGCCAACAGGCAAAATAGTTTAACAAGGCATTTTAAAGGCTGAAGAAGGTTTTATTGATTTGTTTTCTTCATTTAGAAGCAAAAAATCAAGTCAATTCTGAATCAGATTCAGATTCTGAAGAATCTAAGAAGCCAAGATACCGACATAGGCTTTTGAGGCACAAACTGACTGTGAGTGATGGAGAATCTGGAGAAGAAAAAAAGTCAAAGCCTAAAGAGCATAAAGAAGTCAAAGGCAGAAATAGAAGGAAGGGTAAGACATTTTAATTCTGAATGTAAAGAACATGCTGAAGGGCTCAGTGGCTTACGCCTTAATCTTAGCAGTTTGGGAAGCCAAGGTGGGCAGATTGCTTGAGCCCAGGAGTTCAGTACCAGCCTATGCCACATAGGAAAAACCCTGTCTTTACAAAAAATAGAAGAATTAGCTGGGCGTGGTGGTGTGCACCTGTAATCCCAGCTACTTGGGAGGCTGAGGTGGGAGGATCACCTGAGCCCCGGAGGTCAAGGCTATAGTCATCAATGATTGCAACACTGCATTCCAGCTTGGGCGACAGAGTGAGACCCTGTCTCAAGAAAAAAAACAAAAAACAACAGAACATACTAGTTTTGTAAACTAATTTTAGTAATGAAATTTAAGTATATCTGCTCAAACAGTTGACTGCCTATATTAAGCAAATGTCAGTACACTGGCAATAAGTATTCTTTCACATGAGATTGAAATAAATAATTTAGAGTGGGTAGATAACCCAGAAACTTTAGATGATGCAAAGAATATTTCTGAGCTTTAGATTATAAAGAGAAATAAGTATCATTTAATAAAATATATTTAAATGTTATGTAGAAAATATAAGATTGCATACAACTGCAAAAAGGCATGGTGCTTTCCTGCAGAAGGGTAGAAGATGCAGTTAATTTGGGTGAATTTATGCAAACTTGTATGCAAAACTTGACTGGCATATAGTCAGAGTAAATTTCTTTTTCATTAAAAGCCTGAGTCCTTTTGCAATGAGGGCTTACATGTTTCCAGCAGTATGGTGGGCATTGAGGATGCAAAAGTGAATAACGAGTTATCTTAGTTGATTTTGATAGGTTACTAGGTTTGACAGTCACCGGTTTTGTAATAATTATTGACCTTTATATTATAAAAAATTATAGCACCCTGAGGGACATTTTGTGTAATGTAATTATATAATGTGGCACAAAGAAAGGTTTCTTTAGCTTCTTGAGGGTTGGGACTTAACCCCAGAGAAGGCATCACAAAGAAGGCTTTTACCCAGCAGATCAAATTCAAAATGTGGGAGCACGTAGTTGTGAAGATTTATGACATAAGCAGGGAAAAAAATTTAAAAACCTGTGTAAAATGTTGGCACATGATGGATGGGGTACAATTAATATAGTATAAGCTGCTCTATAGATGGGAGTAGGGAAAGGAATAGCAGGGCATGGGGCTGGGCCTGTAAGACAGAGACCAGATTCTGGAGATCTTTGTAAGCCTGTGTTTTTCAAACTGGAGTGCTGGGTGGTATACCAAAGTGTACATCTCTTTGGTGTCTATTTTATTTGAGGTTTTGGGAAGGGCATTTTATATTAAATAATGTATTGGGTAATAAAATATGACATTTGCCTGTGAATTTTGGGTAACAAAAAGTTCAAAGAATTTTTGTCATTGTTGTTTGGCTCTTTGATGACTAGGGGTAAATTTTGAAGACTATTGTTAGTACCCAACCCATGGATGGCAGATGAACTCTTCTCTGCCGACTGGGAATAGGAACACATTTTTGCAAGTGTTTGGGAAATAAATTAGGCTCTAAAAGGATGCAGAGCTATTGAAAAGTTTTTTTAAATTACTGTATTTATTTTTGAACCCTGGACTTACAGTGATCCACCTGCCTTGTCCTCCCAAAGTGCTGGGATTGCAGGCATGAGCCACTGTGCTGACCTTATTTTTAAATTCTTTGTATAACAGCTGTATTGAGATGTAACTCACAAACCACACAATTCACCCACTTACATTATACAATGTAGCAGTTTTTAGTATAATCATAGAGGATTACCACCACTTAAAAACATTTTTTTTAAATACACGTACAAAGAAGCGTATAAGTAGACATCTTGATGAAAACATAGGGCACCAGATCAAAGAACAAGATGTTTATTACTAACACCCAAGAATCATAACCTCAGCATGACCACTTTTTTCCCTGTTGGAAGGTTTTAATGAAAAATGTCATATGATCAGAGTAGTTGCTATTCAGTGAGAATGAAGTTACCGAATGTGTGGAAGGTATTACGGTAGTTGATGACAAATGCGGTTGATGGAGAAGAGGAAGGTTGACTTGAGTCTTAAAGGAGGTTGAATTGTTAGGTGTTCTTAACTGATATGAAAGGGAAAAGTCTCCAGTTAGTGTCAGATTTTTAGAGTTGTCATGGTATATGTATAATATCAGAAAAACAGTTGAGGTTGTTCAGTGGAGTTGTTTTACAAATAGAGAGCTAAGGACATAGTCTTGGAGTTTTAAACATTTATAGGGCTTTTGGGCAAGAGTTATTCACTAAAGATGAGGAAGAAGAAGTTCCTGCCATACACATGTATAATTAATATGTCATGGATATTTTCATGTTAATAAATAATAGTACATCATTTTGTGACTACTTGCCTTATAAATTTCTTTGCAGTATGGCTGCAAGCTCTTACAGATTATTCAATAAAGGAACTCTGATTTAACATGTTATATATCACAACATGGATTCCTGTGCATCTTCAACAAAGGGAGCAATATTCATTTTTGCTTCTGTGGCTTAGCTCAGTATATAGAGCCTTTTAGTATACATGATTACATTTGAGATTTGCTTTATTCAAACCTAAGTTTTCTATGAGCTATGTTTCTACTGCCTGATTCTGTGGGTAATTTATTATCCAAGCCATGTTGTTGTTGTTTGTTTGTTTGTGTATGAGAGAGTAAACTTCTAAAATCCCATCATATTTGTGTTCCTAATATAGATTATGATCATAGTGATTGATATATAGTTGAAATTGCATGATTTTCTTAGTTTTGTAAATTCTAGTGTTCATTATATGGAAATTTGAATTGAGTGATGGGAAAAAATCAATAGTGAATAATCTACTTATTAAATCTATTTAGTTGAATTAAATTGAAATGCATTAAAGAGGCGTAAGAACAAATTGCAGCGTGTGAACCTTAATTTTCTCCTAAATTAGAAAAGTGTTATAAAATTATTTTAGTGACAATTTTGAAACTATAAATACTGCCTTTATATTAGATGATAGTAATTTTTTTTCCAGGTGTGATAATGGTATTTAGTTATGTAGGGCAGGATCCTTATGCTTAGGGGTGAAGTGTCATCTGCACTTAATATCCCATGGTTCAGTGTAAGAAAAGGGGTATGTGTGTGTATGTGTATGTGTGTAGAGAAAGAAAGAAAAAAAAGCACATATGGTAAACTGCTGACAATAAGTGAATTTAGGAGAAGGGATACAAGTATTCATTCCATAATTCTTTCAAATTTTTGGTAGATTTGAAAAATTTTTAAATGTCGGGTGAAAAATTAATATGAGGCTTAAAATTGTACTTAATTACAGGATTTTTTGTGTGTGAATGCAGGGATACATGTCAACGTGTGTGTTTTTGGTATTTTCCCAGCTTTCCAGTTACTTAGTTTTTTTTTTTTTTTTAATTGTGGTAAAATATACATAACATAAAATTTACCATTTTAACCATTTTTCAGTGTACAATTCAGTAACATTAAGTACATTCACATTTTTATACAACCATCACTTCTATCTTTCCCCAAAATGTGTTGTCATTCCAAATGTAATCTCTATAACCATTAAACAATAACTCTTTCTTCCCCTCTCCTCCCACATATTCTTTATAGCATTCATATTCTCCCATTTATAGCATTTCTGTTAGCATTTATGTTCTCTCATTTTTTAGCTGGAATAGAACTTTGATTCTGATCTCAGATTATGATAGATTTTTAAAAAATTATTTTGCAACAATTTTAGATTTACAGAAATGTTACACAAATGGTGTGCAGGGTTCTGTGTATCTTTCACCTAGCTTCCCAGATTTAATATCTTATCATAGTACAACTGTCAAAACCAGGAAATTAACATTGGCACAATACTATTAACTAAACCAGGGTTCACAAACTGCACCTGTGAGCCAAATCCGATCCTCCGCCTGTTTTTATAAATAAGCTTTTATTGAAACATAGTCATATTAATTAATTTACTGTTTTACATACGTGTAAAACAGTAATTTACAGGTGTGTAAAATACGTGAAAACACATATGTGAAAATAGTAAATTAATTAATATGGCTATGTTTGGCAAAGTTGAGTACAGATGAGTAGTTGCAACAGAGACCATATGGTCCACAAGTCAAAAATATTTACTGTTAGGCTTTTTACATAAAACATTTCATGACCTCTGAAGTAAACTATAGATCTTTTTCAGAGATTACTTTTCCCACTGATGTTTTTTATCTCCTAGGATCCAATCTAGGATCTCACATTGCATTGAGTTATAATGTCTCCTTAATCTACTCCAGCCTGTGACAATTCCTCAGTCTTTTCTTTGATGACCTTGATACTTGTAGAGTGTTGATTCCTTATTTTCCCAACTGCTCCTTGATGCGTATTTGTCTAATGTTTTCTCATGATTGAGGTTATTTTGTATTTTGACAGAATACCACAAAAGTGATCTTTTGTCTTCAGTACATGATACCAAGAATATATGATGTCAGTATGTCTTTTTTTTTTTTTTTTTTTTTTTTTTTGAGACAAGGTCCCGCTCTGTTGCCCAGGCTAGAGTGCAGTGGTGTGATCACAGCTTACTGTAGCCTCAACATCCTGGGCTCAAGTGATCCTCTTTTCTCAGCCTCCCAGGTAGCTGGGACCACTGGTGTGCACCATCATGCCTGGCTAATTTTTATATTTTTTTTGTAGAGACAGAATCTCCCTAAGTTGCCCAGGCTGGTCTCAAATTCCTGGGCTCGAGTGATCCTCTCAACTTGGCCACCCAAAGTGCTGGGATTCCAAGGGTGAGCCACCATGCCCAGCCATCAATATGTCTTATTACTCTTATGGTTACCTTCCGTTACTTGCTTAAAGTTGGTATCGGCTGATCTTTTTCCACTGTAAAGAAGAAGATACTATTTTTCTATCTATATTTAGTATTTTCTGGGGTGATACTTTGAGATCATGCATATATCCCGTTTCTTGGCATACTTAAGCCCACTAATTTTAGTATTCATCTTGGGTGAAGCAGTTATTACTGTGGTATTTGCTTACTTGTAATTTTCTATTTCTTTCATTACTTTGATATTTAGTAATTGTAAGGAAGAGTTGTTTTCTCCTCTTTATTTATTGCATTATTTATATCAACATAGACTTATAGATTTTTATTTTATGAGTTATAATCCAATAGTATCATTTATTTTATTGCTTAATTGTTCTAGTTTTGGTTGTTGGGAGCTCCTTCAAGTTGAATCTTGTGTCCTTTCAACATGTGCCTGTCCATGATTGAACACTGCTTTATTTTCTGGCGCTATAAGATGTTCTCAGCTCATCTTGTATTTTTTCTCACCTGCTTCCTTTGGCCAGAAAGATAGGTTTTCTCCTGGAGTTTTTGTATGCTTCCATCACTGTGTTAATTGTGAGGAAAAAAATTGAAGATTCCACATGTAGAACCCTATTTTCCCAGTGGTGTAAATAGAAATAGGGATTTTCTTCACAGCCTTGTTGTCAGTACCCTCTGCATACTTTTGGAATTTAGCCTGCCTTCTGTTCAAAACCAGGAAACGAAGAAAATAACCGGAGCACCCACAGTTGTCTCCCCTCCCCCAGTTGTAGAGGGGTCATTATTCAAGTTTTGATTTCAGTCTCCAATCTTTCTATTACTGTTTGCCTTTCTCAGTTCTTTGATTGTGTCATCATTGGAGGAAAGAATCTGTAATCTTACTCCATCTTGGCCAGCCTACCTTGCTAGTTTTGAATAGCCAAACTCCTTTTTCATTAATTTACCTTTGGTAATTACATGTATTTTATTGACAGGTAATTTATTCTTATTTTGTCAATTCAAATACAATTGAATACTTATATTTTAATGTACAACCATAGTTTTATGATTACATCTGGAATACATTTGAATTTTATTTATATATACCATGTAGAGTGTTAACTGGTATATTCTATATTATATATCATCCGTCTACATATATACCACCACTGATGTTCTTACAGTGCTCTGTTTTAATGTGGAGTCTTTGGGAAATTAAGTGAATTAGGTTTCTGTTGGAAAAAAATTAATAATTTTATGTATTTTTTTTTTAAATTCAAGTGAGCAGTGAAGATTCAGAAGATTCTGATTTTCAAGAATCAGGAGTTAGTGAAGAAGTTAGTGAATCCGAAGATGAACAGCGGCCCAGAACAAGGTATTATAATTGGTTTTTAAAAAATTTTTAGGAATTAATCCGAATGACCATGCCTTCAAATGATTTGTATGGTTACTGTTATCAATAAAGTTGGTGTGATATATAATTATTTTTTTGAAACTAATTGTTATACTTAATAGTTTAAAAAGAGTCTAAGCCTATTTTATGAATATTGAATTGTGTATTCTAATCTGGGTAGATTTTTAGTCTGCAAAACCACTTGTGGCTGCAGTTTTTTATTGTTCTGGGAGAAATTGTAGGGTAATAGTTAAGAGGCTTTATAGAAAAACTGCCTCAGTCTAACTTTGGGCTTTACTAATTTCTATTTGTATAAATACTCTATGCTCCTGTTTCCTCATATTTAAAGTGGGGGATTACAATATACTTGACTAATTATTGTGGGCACTAAATGAGACAGTACATTTGCAAGGTTTATAACAGTACTTACCTGACAGTTAGTAAGTGCTCAATATATAAGTTATTGGTTTTAGTAGTACTGCAGTAATAATGATATGCTTGTTCTTGAAACATGAACAGCTATTGATCTAGATTACATGTAGTTTAAAATTTGTCTTCCTTCTTAGTATGGTATGTTAGATAATACTACTATGATTTTTTAATTTCCCCCAGAATAGCATAATCTTTCTGTAGCTTATCAAGTGAACAATGTGTGTTTGTGTATGTATGTCTACGGAGATGTCTATCTGCACTTGTAAGTTTTAAAACATTCCGAGTTTTTCTTAGGTTAATACTTACCAGGTTGTGCTTAGAGTATAGCAATATATTATACTTTAAGTTAATATATAATGAAAATGATAAGGTATGATGAGAGCTATTTTTTAAACCAAGATATATGAAATTTAACATGTTACAGTATGGAATACAGTGGTCTTCAGAATATTTGCAAAATTGTGTAACGATCACCACTCTATAATTTCTGAACATTTCCATCACCCAAGGAAAAAACCCTGTACTTACTAGCAATTGTTTTCCATTCCCCATGCCCTCGTATTCTAATAAACACTAAAACCTACTTTCTATCTCTATAGATTTGCCTGTTCTAGACATTTTGCATGAGTAGATTCCATAAAATATATATCCTTTTATGAATGGATTTTTTTCACTTAACATAATGTTTTCAAGGTTTATCCATGTTGTAGCCTATATGAATACTTCATTCTTTTTTTAAATGTTATTTATTTATTTTGAGATGGAGTTTCACTCTTGTTGCCCAAGCTAGAATGCAATGGCGCCATCTTGGCTCACTGCAACCTCTGCCTCCCGGGTTTAAGCGATTCTCCTGCCTCAGCCTCCCAAGTAGCTGGGATTACAGGTGTGTGCCACCATGCCTGGCTAGTTTTTTGTATTAGTAGAAACGAATTTTCACCATGTTAGCCAGGCTGACCTCAGGTGATCTGCCCACCTTGGCCTCCCAAAAGGTGTGAGCCACCATGCTTGGCTAGTTTAATGATTATTAGTGGTAAAATGCACATAACCTAACATTTACTATCTTAACCATTTTTTTTCTTTCATGGTATTACAGGGAATTTTTATTTTCATCTTTACCATTTTTAAGTGTATGGCTTAGTAGTGTTAAGTATATTCACTTTTTTTTGGAACTAATCTCCAAAACCTTTTCCTCTTGCAAAATTGAAATGTTATTCATTAAACCACTCCCCTTTTCCTCTCCCCTGGCAACCACGATTCTGTTTTCTGCCTCTATGAATTTCACTACTCTAGGAACCTCATATAAATTGAATCATACAGTATTTGCCTTTTTATGACTGGCTTATTTCACTTAGCAGCATGTGCTCCAGGTTCATATATGTTACAGCATTTGTCAGAATTTTCTTCCTTTTAAAGGCTTAATAATGTTCCATTGTATACCATATTTTGTTTGTCAATTTATCTGTTGATGGACACTTGGGTTGCAACCTTTTGGCTATCGTGAATAATGCTGCTTTGAACATAAATATCTCTTCAAGTTCCTGCTTTCATTTCCTTTGGGTATATACCCAGAAGTGGAATTGTGTGGTGATTCTATTTTTAATTTTTTGATGAACTGCCATACTGTTGGCATAGCAGCTGCAACATTTTACCTTTTTTTTTTTTTTTTTTTGCCATGAGGACAAGGAGAGGTCCCTAAGTAGCCAGAGTGGCTCTGCTGGCCCAGCACAGCAGATCCCAGATGGGAAGAAGGATGGGCAGAAACCAATGAGATAATGAGGACAGGGGCAGGAAGGTGACAGCCCCATGAGAAGCATCAATGCCAGCCCTAAGCTCTTCAGATTGTTGGTAGCACTGTGAGAAAATGACAAGGGGTGAATCTACAGGCTGGGAGGCTGGTGGGATACTGAGCAAGATATTTGTCCTCAGCCCAGCCCAGGCTGGTGCTGGGTGGTGGGGATTTAGTGA